GGTACAGAGAGAGCAATTTAGACATTTGTTGTGCTTTCTCGATAGAAAAGGTTTTGCATTTATGACTTCCGGGGCTGGTACCCCCTGACGACGTCAGATTCGGTTAGCATATTTTTCATTGTTTTTCTTTATTTATTCTTTTGGTTTATTTTCAAAAATTTCATTTAAAGCTAAATAAAAAGTTTTACAAAAAAAAAATTCTTTTGAAACGTGAAATAAGAGTTGAATTCTGGGAGCAGGGGGAATTCCTCTTTCAGTTACAGAAATCAACAATTTTGAACACAAAAGATTCTTTAAGAATATACTACTCAAAATTTTATAATTTTATTAATCGAAACTTAAGCTTTGTTTAAAGCAAATTTGCATATTTTAATCTGAATTTATCCTAAAACTATTTTTCTGCTGTAAAGTTTAGAACAAAACACTGGAGGAGGGGTGTTGCGACTTTCTTTCATGAGCATGGGAGGGGGTTGTGATGTGCTTATTTTTGCTGACCAGGGGAAGGGGAGTGTAAAATTGCCAAAACTATGCTTATATAATATTTAAACCTTCTCAGGCCTCTATTTTTTTATTTTTTCAAATCAAAATGTGCTTCTTGAGATATCACCTTTTTAAATAATTTGAACCCCATTTTCATTTTAAAATTTGTACAATTACTAGGTCATCAGTTTGCAATAACCTGTATATTAAATTAAGATACTTTTTTTCTGGAAAGAGCAAATCTGCAATAAAATTCCTGTGTCAAATTGAAGTTGTTCCCTCCCCACTTCACCCCCTGTGAGATTGTAGTCGAATTCAGTATCATTTTATGCATTTTAACATATTTCACTTGTGTGTTTTAAGATTTAAGACCCAGTATGTATCTCTTAAAATATTGTAAGCTTTCATACTTTTCAGACACATTGTATTAACTTACATTACTACTTTGTAGGCATTCTATTTAAAGCCATTTTCGTTCATAGATGTGCCACCAATTTTATTAACTTCTGCAGCCTGTTTTCAGTCGATATTTTTAGAATAAAGTAATTGAAAATTAAAGTAAGTGACACAAGTAGAATTAATGAGTTGTTCTAATAATATAAGTTTTATTGAGCAAATTTCTGAAATTCATTCTGAAATGTCCATTGTAACATAAATAAATTTAGACAAGTTTTCATTTTAAAAAAAAAAGACCTTTTCAGCCTTTTTTTTTTTTTTTTTTTTTTTTTTTTTTTTTTNTTTTTTTTGAAAAAATTATGATTTAAACTCAAAGTGTGTGGCTTAATTTTGAGAACTAATTCATGAATGAATCATTTAAATAAAAAATATAAGTTACGTAGTGCTAATCTGTTAATTTTTTTTCCATAGTGTCTTTCATAGCATTAAAATTTTAAGCACTCTGCATTGAAAATTACTCTTTATTTGATTGCCTATTTGGAGAAAGTTATAACTTTAATACCACTTTAAAGAACGATGCATATTGAAAATTTTAATGTCATGTAAGTTAGTTTTCGCTGTGCTAATTTGTAAAACTTTCAATTAAATTAAATGGAAAAAAAATTACTGTAAAAAGTTACACACTTTTTAATATTAGAAACTAAACATTCCATTGTCGTTTTTTAAATAATGTAAATCAATATTCCTTTTATATATGGAGGAAAGTTGCCTAAAGTGTACCTTTTCCAAATTTAAATTTTTATCAAATATAAAAACATTTATATTTTTGCATATTTATGAAAACTTTAATAATTAAATACATTAAAATATTTTAACACTAGAATACAGTTATTGAGCTATTTTTATTATCTTTTGGTATTAACAATTGTGCAGTAAGTTCTGAAAATTAACAGTTTTCTCGAGGTTTACATGTGGTACGATTTAGGAAACCAGTTGCCTTACTTGAACCTCAAAAATATTTATTATTTATGAAAGTGAATAAGTTGAACATATGTAATAATAAAATAATATATATTTTTCAAAAAAAATTATAACTCGAAACAAATATATTAAACATTATTTTAATTTACGTTTCGCAGTGCAAATTCGATATGCGATTGCTATTTCCAAAAAAATTACAAGTTCAGCCGAAAGCACAGTTTTAAAATGTGAAAATATCTGCTTTGTGTTGCAAAATTGTGAAATCTGTTCCCAGGATCCGTGCTGGCTCAGGGGGTAGAGCGTCCGCCTTCCAATGAGGTGAACCGGTTTCGAATCAATCCATGGCTGGTCGATACGAATTCCGCATCCGGCTTGCACCGACCATAGTGCTGATGTAAAATATCCTCAGTGGTAGACGGCTCATGGGTTAGAGTTCCCTTGCCGTAATTTCCCTCTCCGTGAAACGCAAATGCGGGTTAGTTACATCAAAAAGTCCTCCACGTAGGCAAATTTCTCCCAATACTTGATTCTGGAGTTCACTTGTCTTCCTCATTGCATTCAAAATTGCCAGGCTACGGAGTTGAACATTACTAGTCGTAAACCTAAAAAATTGGGCCGGCTGTTCAACGATGGTTGTAAAATTTAAAAAATAAAATAAATCACTTCCCAAACATATCCACTGTGGTATTTAAAAACAAAAAGGAAAAACGTCATTTTGACTGGAATAGTCGAAAAAAGTAATTGCACGATTTTAAAAGTGTATGGCACTTTTTTAAAGTTTTTGGAAACCGGTTACCGTAAAAACAATTTACGATTTCGGGGTACTAATTCGTGAACATGATTTCTCTTCTGTAATATCGTTACAAATTTTTAACAAGAAAACTTTGCTTTCTACCAACATTTCTGAATAAAGTTATTACTCAAACCCATGATATCATTTAGAAAAACGACACACATATAAACTATTTTTATCTTAAAAATGTAGGTTTCGCGTTGCCAACTTACGAAATTCATTTCCGAATTACTCCTCATACCTGCAAGTTCTTAACTCAATTTTTGAATTCCATTTTGGGAAAAATTACAATTTGAACCGGAAGTTAGTAATAATATTTTAAAAAATGACGTACTCCGAAACAATATATGCCTTATACTTTTTGCTGTGCAATTTTGCGACAAAAATTTTAAGAACTTTTACTTACTTAGTTTATATTAAACTAACAATTTAAATATTGTGGAGATCTAGAACTTCTGGGTTGATAGCTCTGACATTAAAAGCTACGACGCATCTTAATTTTAAAACAAAAAAGGAAAACGACTTTTGGATGTCATATTTTAGAACAATAACAGTTGAAACAGGACGTTTGCAATTTTAAATAAGAAACTGATATTGTGTTCTAGATGCTAAAATATTTAGATCAAATTATGCAATTTCTGAGACGGTTCACTAACTCAAATCACTTAAGTAAAATGATTAATCTGAATCGAATGCATTTTATAAATCGCTTTGCTTATCTTTAAAATGTGCGCGATATATTCATCTGTAATTCTTCTAAGGTGTATCGTGCAAAATGCTTTTAAAGTTATTATTTTCCCTTAAAAAAAGTTTTCCTTAATCTAGAATTAATTGTTTTCAAATTGAGAGTGTGGCTCACTGAGCTCATAGTAAAAAACGGAGCATATTTATAACTTTTGTTCTATTGATTGGATTTTTATGTAATAAGAAGTAATCTTAATCATTCAAATATCTAATTTTCAATAAGCTAATTAATTTTTGCAAAATATATTCTAAGTTACGAAATCAGCCTTAAAAATTTACTTTTTCTAAATAAACTTTTAATTTTTTTGCAACGAATTTGGACTATTGGCACTCAAAGTATCGATGATAGCCGCAATTTTAAAAATAAGATCTCAATAGAAAAGCGGTTGATACTTTGAACATCTCGTTGCTAATTGATGTCTATTTTGCTATGTCTACTTATGTTTTTAAGAGTATCAAAAAATTTTTGTTCGTAATTATAATTATTATTTTATAATTGTCAAAACAATTTTGAATCGCAAGGTGCAAAATTTGTACGACATCGGTCTAATAGTTATTTAGAAATGCAGAACAAAACCAACTATCTTGAAATTTTTTTCATCAGAGGGTGTTCGACCGATTTCATTCAAATTTTGTATTTTATCATTTAAAATTTAAAATGATATAAAAATTTGTAGACCTTACAATCCACAAAATTTTCGACTATTGCTCAACAAAATAATAAATAATTATTAAAAAAGTGTATTTTTTTGTGAAATTATCTTTGTATAACGAATTTTATAGCATTAAAAATTTTATAGAGTTATAGCATCACATGCATTAAAAATTATGTGCTGAAAAAGTTTGTCAATTCCGAATTTGTTTTGAAGATATTTGTATTCACAATTATGATTTCGGTTTTAAATCAATGCCAATACATATTCTAGCCCCCTAAAAGCTCATTTCTTGTTGCTTTGATTTTATCTCGCGAATATTAAATGCATTATAAACTTACTTTGAATTGTATAGTCACGCTAAATCTGACAGTATGACAGGGTTTACTTTATACAGGAAAAAAAGAAAAGAAAAAGAATAGCATCGCTTTCGCCTGCTACAACCTAGTTTCCTCCTCTTACTTTGTCGCTTATATTTTTGCCTAAGACTGTTTTATTACACAGTTTTTGAAAAGTATGCAATGTTTATAATTTGCGCATAATTGCTGATACGGCTTCTTGTATCATTCTTTTCTTGTGTCGTCAATTTCTTTCTTTCTTTTTTCTTCAAACAATCAAATATTTTCTCTATTTTTGAAAATATAGATTGCCGTAATCAGGGTGAAATTGACGAAATTTCTTTGATCTATGTACGATTCATTTCAGAAAATGTTTATAGGCTTAAATTTATTGTGATTAGGTAGTGGCAATTTATGTAATTGCCTGGTTAATATTTTAGAAAACATAATCATAGAAATCACACGAACATTATTTCATTGTTCTCAAAAACTAAGCATTAAATTATATATGTAATAAATAATTTCTTGAGTTAAAATATGTTATTAAATTTTAAATAGTAAATCAAAATTGTTGAGAAATTATTTTTCTTTGTAAAGTTTCTGATTGACAACTCGAAGAAATTGCAAAATTTAGGTAGAAACTGGAAAGAGTTAAATTTGAATTTTGACGCTTGTTTAATTTTTAATTCTATATACTGCATGAAAATTCCAATTTAAAATTAAAACAGTCTGAAAAGTATAACTTTTTTTTAGAAAAACATTTTTTCCTTAAAAAAGGATGTGAGATGTAAATTCGAACGTCAGTCCAATGAAAAGAGAAAGTATGTCTTTCCCTACCTTACGATTGGTTTATTTAATTTAACACTATGACTAGAAACATGTTTAATCTCTCTAAAGTTCTTTTATGTTTACTTTTTATTTTATTTATTTATTTAATTTTTCATTATTTATTTGTTTATTTATTGCCTTTAGAAAATTCCAAGTTTTAACAATTTTAAGCTATTAATTATATTATTACCTTTCGCGTTATTCTTACCTTTCGCGTAGGTTTAAAACGACTTTGTTTTATTTATTTATGCATTTGCAAAAAATTATTTAAACAAAATTTTATATTTTTTGAACAAAATTTAAATATTATTAAATGAAAATACTTTTTTGAAATTTCAAGCCAGGATTTTATTCAGTGAAACACAGTTCAAAATATGAATTGTTTCCACCAAAATCGAATAAAAGACCCATGTTCGTATCGAAATCAGCTAAAACAAATTTTACATTTTTGCAATTACAAAGATTAAGATGCACCTAAAAATGAAAAAATTCGTATAATTATCAACAATTCTTGTCAGAAAGATTTCCAGAAATTAAAAATAGAGATGGAATTGATGGGGTACATTTCATTATAGCTCTAACATACCATTAAAAATAAATCTTGATTATTCTTTGCCATTCGTATTTACACCGAAAGATGGCGCCTTTTTTAATAAAGAGTAAGGAGATTGTGAATGAGTCACAGAAGGTATGTTGCAGAGAAACAAACATCCAGGAGAAACTTTCCCTTTCGTCGAAATAAAGCGTGAAACATCACATCAGAAGGATTTCTACCAAGTAATATGTTTCGAATAATAATATTTTTACGCGTGAGTTTTACTTTTAATGTAATGTCCATTGCAATTTATTCATATTGAATTTAAAAGTTTTGTTTGAAAATTGTATAATTTCGTGAATTTATCATAAAAACTTTTAAACTTACATCCTATGATACTTATCTAAACTTGTTGCAAAATTGCTAAAGTATTCAATTTAAATTAATGCAAAATTATTTTTTAAATCTTTTTTATATTCCTCCAAAAAACAAATTATTATTAAAGTAACTCGATATTAAAGTAACCATTTATTATTTTTAACTTGGTGCAATACTCATGAAAATTTATTTAAAATCGTAAATTAAAAAAAGTTTTTCCGTTTAAGAATGTGATTTAGAGAAAAAAAGAAAAAAAAGCGTATTCTAACTCTTTTGCAATCCATCATTGATTAAAACTCTAAAAGTTAAATTTTCTTAGAATTATGGGAAATGTTTAGTACTGTTTATAAAAAAAATTTCATTTTAATTAAAATTAAGCCATAAAATTACACTTATATGTTCTAATTATAATTCCACTTACTTCAGCGATCACTTCGTGCTTTACAGATCAGTTATGTTTGAAATAAAGCTTTCTTTCCTCTTAATCTGAATAAAAATAACATTGTTTATAAAAATAAAAAGAAGATTTAAAAAATAGTAATATTTATATATAAAAATTACATATATGAAACTGAAATTAAATTACTGAGTTAGCTAATTAATTAACAGAAACTTTAAAGAAACAAAAACACTATCGAAAACTGTCAAACCCCTAAAAATTAAAATGAGATTAAAAACTTCAAAATTAGTTTTCTGAAACTTTTAGAAGTTTCTAAAAATCTCCTTACAACTTCTCTTTGTTTCCTCTAGAAATTAAACTGATTTTGATTTTTTCCCGCCTTTCTCACAAATAATTCGATAGTTTTTTATATCGTTTTTGTTTTTCCTTACTTTAATACTGATTTTCAAGTCCTAATGTGTGTAGTTTGTTTTTACTTTATTTATTTTATTACTCATCGCAAAATAATCTGTATAATGTGATTTTAAGAGAGAGAAAAAGTTTTGTTAGTGGCTTTCAACCGCAGTTTTTTTTGTTCGAATTTTGCCGAAATTCACTTGCATTCCACTTAGTACTTTCTTAAATTGAATTTGAAAATTACAAGCACTTGAATTATTTAAATATTCTGTCTATCCAAAAAGTGAATGCCATTTAAATTGTGCTTAATTATCTATATTCAATCATATGTATTACGAGTCCTTAAAACCTGTTTCTTGTTAGTGAATCGCATTCAAAGGCATAAAACTTGGCAAATTTAATAACGAATGTTAAAAGTTTTCATAACTTATTCATAATAAGCATTCATAACATTTTAATATAATCATATATTAAAATTTTCATGAACAGTTATGGTTTAAAAAATAACGATGATAAATAAATTAATCTACTCATTAAAAGTATTAATTATTTAATACACAGTAATAGTCTTAAAAATGGCGATAAATAAATTAAACCACACATTTTATTCTTTTACAACTATTGAAAGGCCAGTGTGATGGCTAAAATTCGACAACTTTATGAGTAAAGGAACTTTCTAAGAAACACATCTGTAAAAAATTGAAATTTCGCTGTTGAACGATCTTATTTGACTGACCAACATTCATTTTTTAATGTTATCAAATGTTAGAGATCTCAGGAGATAAAATTATTAAAGGATATTCGAGTGTTTTTTAAGTGGAAGATAGTTCCAAGTGCATTTGGTAACAAATAATCAATGATAAGTAATCTTATAATTCGGTATCAATTGTGCAAAACCTATGACTGAAGTGTTAGGAATTTCGACAATTTTAAGCTTGAGGACAAAATATAATGGAAAGGCATAACCTTTATTTCTCATTGCGGATGCATTAACTTTAAAACTATTTATTCAAACTAACCAAAAGGTCGCTTAGAACCTTTATACATCTAACTCTTTAATTAAAACATAACTTACATCAATATTCAAATTCTTATTTACGACATGCCGCAGATCTTTGTCACAGTAAAAAGATTTACTAATATATTAATTTAATTAAAAGTATATGAAGGCTTCCTATTTTTATCTGAAATGCAATAAATTATTTATAAATGGTAATAAAGTTTTATTTATGATCATTTCATTAATATGTAAACATATAATGATATTTGTAGGGAATATAACTTTTAAGCATTGCTTATAAAATGATATAAAATATTCTGTCACTATAGACGACATTCACTATAGACGGAGACGACATTCCAATTCTATTGATATGGATAGTAGTATTTGGAAAGAACTTAATAAAAAAGAACGCAATAATTCTTTACATTTATATTATGCAGCTTGGGGAAAATGAAAAGAATAACCAGCTTGGCTCACTTATTGGCATGTTACGTGATATTACTTATTGCTTGAATATTTTTGTTGTAACCATTCTTCAAATTTCTTATTCTTTTATTTACCTAGCCCACATTTCCATCTTTAGATACCGGAAAATATTTATATATATTTTAAAACTATGGAAAATATCATTACAATCGGGTACCTCACTCAAAAATATTCGATAATTACTTTTACAAATTTAGTTATTTAAACTTTTTTCTTCTTCCAGCAATGTCTCGTTGCAGACGATAAATCAATAATAATTTTTATTATTTCTTTGTGCATTCCATATGTGCGAAATTTGAACAAACATTCGTGAGGAACTAGTTACTTTTATGTAGATTAAAACTTTATCACAAACTATATTTTGTCTATTTTAGTTTTATTACTTTTCAAAACTAAGAACTACTTAATTTTTTTGCTGTATTTTTATAATAAATGGTTATGATGCGTATTGTAGTTGGGTACTTGTAGTGCAAAAATAAATAAAGTAATTATGCCTAACTATGTGATTTAATTTAAATATAACTGCATATCAGTAAGTGACATCACGCGTGTGTGTCGTACCTGATTAACTCCTTAATTGACAAATGTTACGAATTAACTACAATGACGTCACTCACATGTATCCAATTGTAGTTTAAATATTCAAACTACTTACACTTTTCATATATCTGGAAAATTTATAAAAAGTGCAGTTTATAGTTAATCGGAATAAATATTTGCACTAAATATTGATCTATACCTGACTATTAAGTAAAAATATTATATTCCAATTAAGTAAGTCTAACATGAATTATTTTTAATTTTAGAAAGTACTTAAATTTTGCTATAAAAATCATTATTTAGGAAACTCATTAGAAAATGACGTAAACAGACTGCCGTAACCTTGGTAATGTTTAAATGTTAATTTGACCACGAGTATACATGGTTGATTCTCAAAAAAAAAAAAAATGTGTTTTAGAAAAATAAATTTTAGTAATATTGTATTGTAATTAACAGTTTCTTCGTTATTCAAATCAGTAAAAACGTCATGGCATTATTTAATTCATCTAAATTACTTTCCTAGGCAATCTTGTACATTATGATTCTTCGCCGGAAAATATTACTTCATAAAATATCCAGAGGAGAAATGACTTCCCCAAAATATATTCATCAAATTCAGCAATTATATTACACATTAAGTGAAATAAATAAATATTTATTGATGCTTGCGGCAGACAATATTCATAATTTACAATGGACGTTCAAAATACGAAAAATCCTTAAAATTTTGGGTTTTTGATTTTTGTGATATTAAAAAAATTCACACTTTTCTGAATAATATACAGCAAACAGAATTCAAATTGGAGATTTTGTTAACGAGTTATAAGAGTTTCAATTTGTATGTTGTAAATCATTTGCAATGAAAAATATTGATTTTTCTCAGAATAAGATTTTTGGACGATTTTCTATCTTCGAAAAGTTCCTTGCGCATAAATTTTTGCTCTATTGCTCTGAAATTTTTTTCAGGTATTGTTTGGTGTTTGTTCTAAAGATAGAACTACAATTAGTTAGCATTGCACAAAAATTTGTGTCGCTAATATTTAAACGAAAGTTTATGAATAGTAATTTTTTGATGAAAATTTAAGAGCGATGTGTAAAAAAACTTTTGATACACATTATTGCTCTATATTGTACCTGAAACAAGTTAAATACATAAAAGTACTTATAACCTCATTTTTTGTACAAAATTAATTTTGAAAAAAGCAAAACTGATGCGCAAAGGACTTCTTACGTATTGCTAATTTATCGTTAATTAAAAATGTACTTCTTACTGTAACTTGAAAAATAATTGACGTTTTCTTAAAAAAAACTTCTATTGAGCTTACCAACATTCAATAAAAATTTCATATGGCTAGGAGGAAAATTAAAATTTTTGGTTTTGAACGTCCATTGTCCCCTTACAAGGTTTTCTACGATAGTAGCTTTTCCTATCATATTTTTAAGAATCCTTGATAAAAATTAAGTCAAAAAGTATATAGTTGAGCGAGTTAGAACTTTTATGAGAAAGGTGGGAGAAAGACATCAAAATATGTTTTATTGCTGGTTGAAATTTAACTCTTTGACGCAGATGGGACACTGGTGTCTATTTAATACATTGTTCTTTTTTTTCGACACTCTAATTACAAGCAAAAATATATTTTGGTATTTTTACTTATTAAAAATAATCTTATAGTTCCTAAAAAAATCTGTTAGATCATCGGAAATTTATTTCTACTAAAATTAAAAAAAATCCAAGAAAAGTAGCTTGAAAATTATTTTTTCATTCATATTCAAAAATTTAACTATAATTTATTTTTTAAATTAAGTAAAAAACTGTTTCTCTTGGATCTAAATAATTGAAAATAAGAGCAAATTTAAAAAGTTATTGTTTGGAAGTGAGCCCTGTTCTGAAGATTGTACCTTTAACACAGAAAAAGACACCGGTAATTCATGCTGCACAGTTAGAAATTTCTCTGAAAAAATGGTTAAATAACAATTTATTGCAATGTTATTTTTTCCTTACATATACAAAGCGGATAAATAACCATAAATAAAATGGTATTCAACTTGAGAAAAACCGTTTATTAACTGCTTTCACGCAATACTGTTGAACAACCAGAATTTTATCGCGCCAACTTGGTCCACCTAATGAAGCGAATTAATTCCTTGCAGCTGTGCTAATATCATAGCCGCTAGGGCTAATCTGTCAATCTTATAACCAACAAAATGGGGTTTCGAGTCCCAGCGTTAACACTACAATACTTCCTCAATTCCCTTCAACACATGTAGAGGTTATAGTGTCCTGCACTCCCCAATTTGTGATCTTGGGATGTTAGAATACGATATTCTCATTTGCGCTTAGATAACAGCACCATAAAACTTCTAAACTATCCCCAATGTCCAGTTAAATTTCTTTTTTTGCCGGTTTGAAGCCATGCTAATTGTAAAGGGTTAAAAAAAACTGTAAAGGAGCTCATGGTTTTTTAACCAAACTAAATGTAAACGTTTTCAAAATAGTAAAGATAAAAAATGTTCTTTAGCGTAAACCTTACGGTTAATTGGATGGACAGACTCCTGCCAGTTATTTTACCATAGTTTTAGAATGAAAATTCTAACAGTGTGTATTTCATAACCATAATTTATTGAAATGCAAAATATAATAATTTTCCTCTTATTTTGACCTAAATGCCGACCAGGTGGCCGAGTGGTAAGCGTGTCTGACTGCGGAGCCATTTGTCGCGGGTTCGAATCCCGCTCAGGGCATGGATGTTTCTTTCTCTCTCCCTCTGTGTTCTATGTCCTTTCTCCTTTGTGTGAATGTGGCCCGCTCTGTAAATGGGGTTGTGGTTCTGTGACGTGGGCGATGCTGCTCCACCACCGTGGCTTCGCCACAGGTGCCCACTGGGTAACGAGAAAAGAGTAGCAGTTCTGGCATTCCTGTGGCCAATGGGACGATCCCCAAGTGTCCGCCATTAAAAAAGAAAGAAAAAATATTTTGACCTAAATTTTTGCAAGTAAGGAAAAAAGTATGAAAATTATGTTTAATAAAAATGCTGCGTGAAAGGGTTAAATTAGTTTTTAATATACTCATCCTTCGACTTAATACTAAAGAACTTTGCTACCGTACCTAGGACTTAAATGCCATAAAATTCAGAGATCGAAAAATCAATCAAATAGTTTGAAATAGTATGTTTAAAATGGCAAGTATGCACTTTGAGCATAACCTTGCAATATGCTTAAAAATTACAAAAATTGCCTTGTCTGCCGTTAAAAAAAAAAGAAGTAAGTCAAATGTTTGTACTAATTTCGATAGTAAAAAGGATTTCGAGACAGAAAAAATTATTTAAATCGTTTTTTTTGTTTGTTGTGTATATATATATATATATATATATATATATTTCNGTATATAATGTATATAATGTATATAATGTATATAATGTATATAATGTATATAATGTATATAATGTATGTAATATATGTAATATATATATATATGTATATATATGTAATATTGTAATGTAGACCAGTGGTTCTCAAATGGAGTCCTAGGGTTTCGTGAGATTATATTTGTATCCAAACATCAAACCATAATTTATTTGTTAATTTGATTTTTTTTTGAAATTATTTAAGTAAAATAACAATAAAAAAGAATTAGTAAAAAAGAATTAAATACTTTTCCAATAATAATATTGAACATAGAATGTGTATTTATAAAAAAAATTAATTTTTGTTTCTCATCGAACTTTCCAATTCAATATAAAATAATCGAATCCAATAATAAAGAACTATGTTTCCCTGGTAACCATTCTCAACTTTTATAACAATATTTTCTAAACTATAATTCAACTTACTTTATTCATTTTCAGTTTATGCATACACCAAAAACAAATTCAGAACGATACCATTCCAGACTTGCTAATTCAACTTGTTGACATAAATTCTATAATTTTAAGTCTATTCATCGAAATATAAAACGATGACTGAATAAATTTCTTTTTTCTCAATAAATATAATCAAAGCAAATGGTAGTTTTTTTTTACTTTTTCGTTTAGTATATTCACAGCGTACTAATTTTGTTTACTAACTTGGTGTTCCGTAAAAAGATGCTCGATCATTAAGGCTTCCATAGCAGTAGAAATATTGAGAACCGCTGATGTAGACAATAACTGATAAATTTTATAAATAAACCCTTATTCTCCTTGTTAAATTTGTATCTATTTCATCTCAATAATGATTTCAGGTATTTATGACCATTACGGTTGAGTAATAATCGTTCTGATGCCTTGATCAGCTGATGATGGAAAACCAAATTCGTAAAAAGAGCCTATCTCAGTACTGCTGGGATTGTGGTGAGACTATTAAAGACAAGTACCTTTTGTATGCCCTCGACAGATATTGGCATAACAGTTGCTTGAAGTGCAGTGTTTGTCGCATTCCTCTGGCAGACGCAGGAACATCTTGTTTTACAAGAGCTGGACTTATTCTCTGCCGGGACGACTATTTACGGTGAGTTAAATAGCTTCATCTAATTATGCCGGGAATGCAAATAGGAATAACCTGATTTTAAAATCAGTGAAACCTGACTTGTTAAATCCCTTTAGGCTGTTTTACCAGTTTAATTTCATCTCAATGAGCAAAGTCCAAAAGGAAAAAAAAAGACAATTAAATTCATCGTTTATAAGTTCGTCACAATGAACTTATAAGCTTAAAACTGATGAATCCATCAAATTGTTCTGCAACTTTCAAAGATTTTAGTATATTTTTATTAATGGAGCTATTACAAGTATTATAATAATTGGTACACGAAATTGAAAAAAAATATACCAATTTTATTTTATTTATTTCTTAAAATGCTTAATGTTACCCGGCAAACACCTAATCAGTAATCAATCGTTCCATGCAAATTGTAGTTTCTCAGTATCAGTGGTTTTTAAATCTGCTCAAATGCATTCTTTAAACTCTTGCCACGTTTCTTTTGTGTCAGTAGTTCAAAGGTTTTTTTAAATGTTAACTCATTAAAGTAAATAACATGGCGTAAGGTACGGAGATATTGATTGTCTTGTGTTTGGGAATAAATCGCTAAATCTACCAGTGAGGCAGCTCTTCGTTCAAGTAAGCAAGTAGTTAGAAAGATTGATGGATTTCGCCTTTGCTTGTTGATACCCAAAACAAGTGTTATCCTCACTAGATTGGAAAAATTGTAACTCGGCTTTTATGAATCTACACAAAAATAACTGAAAAAACAAACCTTGCATATTCTAATACACAAAATCTCTATTCTGTCAATGTTGCCATTTCAACGGATTCGGGTTTCCGTACCACCAAAATATTGGGGGTAGACGCAATCTGAAAAATATAGTCCCCATAGCTTGGTCAGGAGAGCAATCCAAAGTTTGGACCCCTTAATTACACAGAGAGAGTCCAAAATTAATATTTATGTGAAAAAGAAACGAAATCTTTATCAAAATCTGTCACATTATAAGTGAGAAAGGAGGTACGTCAAATATCGAAACTAGTTTCATTGCCTAAAGAAACTTGAAGGCGTTTCTAGTAATCAACCCCATCTCGTTTCATTTGATAATTAAACTAGTTTTGGTGTTTTCAGTGCCACCTTCTTCAATAAAGATTTGTTTAGTCTTTTTATCTTTTTTTTTATCTTACATATTGATTTGCTACCCAATTGGTGAAACTCTTTCATTAATTTTAAACAAGAATTTTAAAGTTTACATTAAGGATTGTCATTGTTGTTTTATATTTTATTTTACATCCGTAGTTGAACAGCCGACTCAATTTTTGGGTTTACGACTACTAATGTTCAACTCCGCAGCCTTCTAATTTTGAACCAATCCAGAAGACAGGGAAATTCCTTGATCAGCACCCCCAGAGGTATTGATTTGTTATGGGAACATGGAGGGCTTTGCGATTCGACAGAATTCAGGTGCATCAGTCACCATTTACTACACGGGGACCCACGAACTCTTGGACGTGGGCCCATCAGTGCCCTACCAACCAGACTATCCCGGACTCTGTCATTGTTGTTGTCCTATGCCATTTTTCAATACTGACAAGATCATTTTAAGGTAGAGGAGGGTGCTCCCGCTTGTTTTCAATTGACGCCATATATGGCCGAGAATTTGACTTGTGTCATACATACGTCACAACCCATTACACAGAGAAGACGCATTCACACACCATCCATCCGCAGATCGTAAATTTGACCTGAACCAGAGCATGACCAATTTCAAGTACAGTACCCCCAGATGTTTTGATTTGTTACGGGAACTTGGAGTACTTTATGACCCCGACAGATTTAACGAGCATCAGTCACCGGCGGTCTTTGACTGGCGAGGATCGAACTCACGATCTCTTTGGGGTGAGCAAAATGCCCACCAACTAAGGTATCCCAGCCCCAGGACTATTTTTCAACATCCTACATAATATTTTGATATGATGTGAAATATTTCTGATGTTTTGTTTTTATTTTAAATCCCTTTTTTTTTTTTACTGATACTACAATAAGTTGGTCTAGGATGAGATTTAAGTCTCTTATAACATTTTTGGAAATTTATTTTAGTAATTTATGTTTTCCTTTTTAATGCAATATATGTACCTGTTGAATCATGCTGCAAAACCCACAGACGGTAGAAAGATCTCTAAACTACCAACAATATAGATAAAATGGACATTATTATTTTATATTTTCGTAATAACTAGGGGATAGATCTTTTTTGTTACTTCGAATTTGAAGGTTTAAATCCAATTCATTGCACTCTGGTTTGCTTCCACAACATGCAACTAAGATTTCTATCCTATTGTTATAGTTAATTGATTCATACACTGCTTCGTATCTGAATCGCAACAATACTGATTCAAAATTCGAAGAATGGTAGCCGAATCATTAAAGTTCATAGACAGATGACATAACAATGATCCGGTTTCGTGATTTTCCTCTTCATGTAGCGCAAATGTGAGCTTTTTTCTATTAAAATATTCTTTTACAAATGCAAATTCGTTACGACAGTGCTGACTTGTCTTCTGAGTGAAATTCAAAATTGCATATGAACACTATCATTTCAAGTTCACGTGCATAGCTAATAATAAAATATTTTTAAGAGTCCTCGTTCCTCTAGATTGAACTCAACTGTCAAACAGTTTATGGTAGGGGAAATTATAAATTTACATTTAATCACTTTTATTTAATTTACGCGAATAAATTGATGCTGAGTATTTAACCTACTCTGCAACGTTACGCTTTCTAACATATAAAAATGCAAAGTTGTCACTCAATTGAAATGGGAGATATATAAGGATGTTATTTAAGAATTCAAACGCATTTATTACAAAATTAAACCCCTGCAATTAAGCTATAAGCAGTTAAAGTGTAGAAGGTGAAGAAGACGGACAATTTATAGTTAAAGTGTAGATACCGTTGTCCAATTTTAAATTTTGATAGCAAAAAAAATTTAAAAAATCTTTATTTTTGCATAGTTTGCGTTAAGGTAATTTTTCATTCAAATTCGAAATTGGATTTTATCAGTTTAAACCAAAATAAAAGCATACTTTGGAGATGTAAAAGAAGGACAAAGCATGGTATTAAATTATCTATCAAAAATATTTACAGTGTAATTTTCCTTTCTTTTTCTGTTTGAGAAAAAAAATATAGAATTTCTAAAAATTATCCTTCGCCATTTCGTTGAGTCTAAAATAAAAGATGCGTTTACCCTTCTTGTAAATATATAGTGCTCTAGAATGACTCTATTATCAAAAGGTTAACAGCAAAAANAAAAAAAAAAAAAAAAAAAAAAAAAAAAAAAAAAAAAAAAAAAAACTGATATCTTAAAAGTTAGTCTAAAATTAAAAATGGCTTCCTGACTCCTGTTGCTCCAAACTCTCTGAAAACTCTTTCAAACTCACCAAAACTCGTTAAATTAATAAACAGACTGTTGGTAAAGTTATAGAAATTAGCAATAGAAATAATTAAAAAGAAATAGAAATTGTTTTCATCTACTATAAACATAATTATTACATAACGCTTAAAACTAAACAGAAAATAATAGTTGTTGTTCACCTGCATTAGAAGGTAACCCGTTGAATGCCACTCTAATTTTGCAAGGCTTGCCCATCTGGTCACAAGGGTAAATAACTACAAACTAAATTTGCAAATATTAGACAGATTTTGCTACTCTTTTAAAAGGTTTAGTGTGACATATCTGAAAAAAATGGTGAATTATATAAGCCTACGAATTGTTTAGAAATAATGGTGGATAAAAATCTACTAAATTGAATTTATTAAAACGAGAAACACAATTAATAAACTATCACTTGGAAATATTTATTCGCTGTCAGGAGCAAGTTGGCATCTCTGTGTACATAAATAAAACTATTTTTGTGTGTTCTATATTGCATTAATTTCTTCAAACCATTTTAGTAACGATAATAATATAAAAAAATTTAAAATTTTCTCGAATTCTGTGTTTCTAATAATCTTGGCTTCGCCGGTCACCGGTTACCCCCTTGGCGCTACGAACAAACTCAGTGCCGGTCTCCGGTGACCCCCATGGCATTCAATTTGCTAAATAATCTGAGTTTTGGAAATAGACGATTCAAGTAAAACTTTGCATTATAAATAAAGTGAACAAAACTTCAACTTAGAGAGTGGAAGCAAAATGTTCAAAATAGTATCCAAAACAAAATTACAATCATATGAATGGAACATTTACTTAGATGGCTTTCGATAGTTAAAATCTCTTTACTGAAAACAAATCGTGAAATACAAGATTCAAATTTGGCTATTACTAGATCTTAAAGCATTTCCCAGATAAAAGTTTTCAGACCTTTTTGACTTGAGATATGAAGGCTGAGGTTAAAGAACGGTTTGTGTTCATTTTTTACAAAAATTACGATTGCATTTGAGGATTAATTAGTTTTAAGAAATCAATAACGTGAAAAATTGACTCTTCCCGAGAGTTATTACGCACTGAAAATGGGTCGTACTAGGGAAAAATAACTTTTCCTTTCCACTCACAAAATCATTTGTTCTCGGAATCAGCTTTTATGGGCTGTTCTTTTCCTCGTGGTCTTCATATTTTAAATATTTAGTTGTATTTTAGTTTTAATTTTTAAAAACAGTCAAGAAAAGGATGTGTTTTTTTTATCCCATTTGTTTAAATTATATGAAACAGCAAACTAGTTATACTATTTTTTATCTTTATTTTTGTTATATTTAGAGTGCAAATCATTAGTTTTTAAGCTTTAATGTTTGTTAATTTAAAAAAAAACTTTTGAAATGAAAAGACTTTCCATTCAAACCAATTATTACAAATAAAATAATTCTTAATAAAACATAATAAAATCTTTTTGAGTTTAATGTCGTTTTTAATAATTACTAACAAATTTAACCACTATTTAATACTATCTGTGAGCCAAGATCTGGAAATAAATTTATTATAATATTAAATTAAACTTTTTTTTTCTGTATCAAACGTTTTGCATTAACATTTTAATGT